GCGGGGCTGGGGGGCTGTTCTGTTCCGGGCCTGGCTCAGTATTTATTCTGTGTGGGGGTGGAGCCCCCCCTGTGATCTCTGTCCCCCCCTCCCTTGGCAGTTGAGAGCAGTGGCCCCGGGCACAGTGTTAGGGAGACCCTGGCTCTGGGGGGCTCGGCCCCCCGGTCCCCGAGCCCCCCATTGACTTGTCTCCGTTACTTTCTCCTAGAATTTTGTAGCCACCCTGGCTAATGGGATGAGCCTGCAGACTGCGATAGAAGATGTAAATATCCTTTGAGTGAGGGGCCAGGCCAGGGCTCGGGGGCTAGTGACCCCCAGGGCCGGCCGGTAACTTCTCCCCCCGGCCCGTTCCCAGCCACCCTTCCCGGCCCGTTCCCAGCCACCCTTCCCGGCCCGTTCCCAGCGCTGACTGGTGACCCCCCCCCGGCCCGTTTCCAGTGACACCCCACCCCTGACCCATTCCCAGTGCTGGCCCCCATTTCTACTGACCCCCCTGGGCCTTGCCCTGCCCCATCCAGATGGTCTCTTCCCGTGGCAGCCAGCCCCAGAACCCCCCTCCGGAGTCAGATAAACCATGGGGAGGGGGACCAAAGGGATCCAGAAACACGCCCCCCCCATCCTAGCTCAGAGCATCTGTCCCCTCTGCTGGCAGGTTGTGACCCATCCCCAGCACATTGCTCAACCCCAAGGGGGGCAGTGGGTGTCTGCTCTGGGGGGCTCTCTTCAGGGGAGTCCCATAGGAAGCTCCTAGGGCCCCGTGTTCTGTATGGGGGTTACCGCCTGGGAGTTTTTGACGGGGGTGGGTCGCTGCCGGGGGTCTGTGTGCATGGTTGGAACTCGGGGGGCCAGGGAGTAGCTGTTGGAGCGTGATTGGGGCTCTGTGCCTGGGGGGGGGCAGGTAGTTGCTGGCGGGACTGGGGGCTTTGTGCTTGGGAGGGGCAGGTGGCTGTGGGGGTGCGGGGCTGTGTCCTGGAGTGGGCAGGTGGCTGCAGGGGAGGGAGGGGGGGGAACCAGTAATTCCCCAGTTTCCTTAACTTGGTCTCCAGCCCCAGCTCCCGCGGTGCATTGTGGGTGCGGTCGGTGGGGGAACGGAGGTGGGGCGCGGGGAGACCCAGCTCTGCGGGGGGCTGGAATGGGGGGGCTCGGGGCTACGCGTCCCAGCCCTGCATTGTTCCTGCCAAGCAGACGTGCTCTGGACCCCACCAGGGGAGGGGGCAGGATGGGGGGCCGGGTCTCCTGATGCCAGGCCTTCAGCCCCCCTGAGTGGTGCTGTCTGGTGCCGGGGGCTCCGCATGGGGCCTGCAGAAGGGGGGTGGACACACCACGCGGGGACTGGTGTGGGGGATGGAGGGGGCTACAGGCTGGGCTGGGCCCGTCCGCCAGGTCATGGCGGGTGGATACTGGCCGGGCTGGGCCCATGGAGTTAATGTGGGGTCTGGATACCGTCCGGGCCCGTGGGACTGATGTCGGAGCTGGGGGTTGGATACAGGCCGGGCTGGGCCCGTGGGGCTGATGGGGGGGTGGATACCAGCTGGCCCTCTGTGGCTCGGCCCCATCCCTGCGGTGTGTTTGGGGGCGTCTGTCTGACCATAGCCCCCCCCTGCCCCCCAGGTGTCCTGCCCCCAGGCCGAGAGCAGCGTGAAGCCCACAGCCGAGGAGATGACGTCCAAGGATTATTACTTTGACTCCTACGCCCACTTCGGCATCCATGAGGTCAGTGGGGGAGGGAGGGCCGTGGGGGGGGATGGGGAGGGAGGCAGACGTCCCCGTGGGGTGCCTGGCTTCATGGGCACATCCCTGCCACTTGTCCCCGTCCCCCCCAAGAGGAACTGGAGGATGAGGTGCACTGGGGGGGGTTGGGTGGCCCCCTTTCTCCCAGGAGATGCCGCAGGACAAGGAGTGCGGGGTAGGGTTGGGGGGCCCCTGCTAACCCCCCGTATACCACTCAGGAGATGCTGAAGGATGAGGGGCATGGGCTGGGTGGAGTTGGGGGACCCCTGCTCACCCCCCAGGAGATGCTGAAGGATGAGGGGCGTGGGCTGGGTGGAGTTGGGGGGCCCCTGCTCACCCCCCAGGAGATGCTGAAGGATGAGGGGCGTGGGCTGGGTGGAGTTGGGGGGGGGGCCTGCTCACCCCCCAGGAGATGCTGAAGGGTGTGGGGAGTGGGCTGGGTGGGGTTGGGGGGCCCCCGCTGACCCCCGTATCCCCCCAGGAGATGCTGAAGGACGAGGTTCGCACTCTGACCTACAGAAACTCCATGTTCCACAACCGGCACCTCTTCAAGGACAAGGTGGTTCTGGACGTGGGCAGCGGCACCGGGATTCTCTGCATGTTCGCGGCCAAGGCGGGTGCCAAGCGGGTCATCGGGGTGAGTCCCTCCCCCGACCCCTTGCTGCCTGGCTGGGGCCCCCCTCCAGCTCCCCTGCCCTGGGCCCCAACCCCCTGCTGGCCCCAGGGGTTTCGTAGAATCATAGGGCTGGAAGGGACCTCGCGAGGGCTCCAGTCCAGGACTCAGTATTGTCTGGACCGTCCCTGACAGGGGTTTCTCCAACCTGCTCTTAACAATCCCCAACGACGGGGATTTCACCACCTCCCTGGGCGATTTATTCCAGCGCTTCACCACCGACAGTCAGGACGTTTTTCCTGATGTCCAACCTAAACCGCCCTGACTGCAATTTAAACCCATTGCTTCTTGTCCTGTCCTCAGAGGTTAACGAGGACAGTTTTCTCCCTCCTCCTTGTAACAACCTTTTACCTGGCTTCTCGTCTCCAGACTAAACAAACCCCCGTTTTTCAATCTTCCCCCATAGCTCATGTTTTCTAGACTTTTCATCATTTTTGTTTCTGGACAGTCTCTGGACTTTCCCCAACGTGTCCATGTCTTTCCTGAAATGGAACTAGACGCAGTACTCCAGTTGAGACCGTATCAGGGCGGAGCAGAGCGGAAGAATCACTTCTCGTGTCTTGCTTACAACACTCCTGCTAATACATCCCAGAACGATGTTCTCTTTTTACATAAGAACGGCCGTACTGGGTCAGACCAAAGGTCCATCCAGCCCAGTGTCCTGTCTACCGACAGTGGCCAATGCCATGTGCCCCACAGGGAGTGAACCCAACAGACAATGATCAAGTGATCTCTCTCCTGCCATCCATCTCCACCCTCTGACAAACAGAGTCTGGGGACACCATTCCTTACCCAGCCTGGCTAATAGCCATTGATGGACTTAACCTCCATGAATTTATCCAGTTCTCTTTTAAACCCTGTTATAGTTCTAGCCTTCACAACCTCCCCAGGCAAGGAGTTCCACAGGTTAACTGGGCGCTGTGTGAAGAACTTCCTTTTATTTGTTTTAAACCTGCTGCCCATTAATTTCATTTGGTGACCCCTAGTTCTTATTTAGGAACAAGTAAATAACTTTTCCTTAGTCACTTTCTCCACATCACTCATGATTTTATAGACCTCTATCATAACCCCCCTTAGTCTCCTCTTTTCCAAGCTGAAAAGTCCTAGCCTCTTTAATCTCTCCTCATATGGGACCCCTTCCAACCCCCTGATCATTTTAGTTGTCCTTTTCTGAACTTTTTCTAATGCCAGTATATCTTTTTTGAGATGAGGAGACCGCACATCTGTATGCAGTATTCAAGATGTGGGCATATAAATCCATGAAATAAGGGCAATAAGATATTCTCCGTCTTATTCTCTATCCCCTTTTTTAATGGTTCCTAACATCCTGTTTGCTTTTTTGACCGCCGCTGCTCACTGCGTGGACGTCTTCAGAGACCTATCCATGATGACTCCAAGATCTTTCCTGATTAGTTGTAGCTAAATTAGCCCCCATCATATTGTATGTATAACTGGGGTTATTTTTTCCAAGGTGCATTACTTTACATTTATCCACATTAAATTTCATTGGCCATTTTGTTGCCCAATCACTTAGTTTTGTGAGATCTTTTTGAAGTTCTTCACAGTCTGCTTTGGTCTTAACTATCTTGAGCAGTTTTGTATCATCTGCAAAATTTGCCACCTCACTGTTTACCCCTTTCTCCAGATCATTTATGAATAAGTTGAACAGGATTGGTCCTAGGACTGACCCTCGGGGAACACCACTAGTTACCCCTCTCCATTCTGAGAATTTACCATTTATTCCTACCCTTTGTTCCCTGTCTTTTAACCAGTTCTCAATCCATGAAAGGGTCTTCCCTCTTCTCCCATGAGAGTTTAATTTACGTAAGAGCCTTTGGTGAGGGACCTTGTCAAAGGCTTTCTGGAAATCTAAGTACACTACGTCCACTGGATCCCCCTTGTCCACATGTTTGTTGACCCCTTCACAGAACTCTAATAGACACAATTTCCCTTTACAGAAACCATGTTGACTTTTGCCCAACAAGTTATGTTCTTCTGTGTGTCTGACAATTTTATTCTTTACTATTGTTTGGACTAATTTGCCCGGTACTGACGTTAGACTTACCGGTCTGTAATTGCCGGGATCACCTCTAGAGCCCTTTTCAAATATTGGCGTTACATTCGCTCTCTTCCAGTCGTTGGGTACCGAAGCTGATTTAAAGGACAGGTTACTAACCGTAGGTAATAGTGCCGCAATTTCACATTGGAGTTCTTTCAGAACTCGTGGGTCAATGCCATCTGGGCCCGGTGACGTGTTACTGTGAAGTTTATCAATTAATTCCAAAACCTCCTGTAGTGACACTTCAATCCGTGACAGTTCCTCAGATTTGTCCCCTACAAAAGCCGGCTCAGGTTTGGGAATCTCCCTCACGTCCTCAGCCGTGAAGACTGAAGCAAAGAATTCATTTCGTTTCTCCGCAATGACTTTATCGTCGTTAAGCCTCCGTTTGTATCCAGGTCGGCCAGGGGCCCCGCGGGTTGTTTAGCAGCTTCCTGCTTCTGATGTACTTAAACATTTTTTTTATTACCTTTTTTGCAACAGCGTTACATGTTTAGCATGTGATCCACTCTGACCCCCAGATCCCTTTCCGCAGGACTCCTTCCTAGGCCGCCATTTCCCATTGTGTGTGCGCGACTGATTGTTGCTTCCAAAGTAGGGTACTTTGCATTTGTCCTGACTGAATTGCATCCTATTTACTTCAGACCATTTCTCCAGTTCGTTCAGATCATTTTGAATTTTAATCCTGTCCTCCAAAGCACTTGCAGCCCCTCCCAGCTTGGTATCGTCTGCAGACTTTACCGGCGTCCTCTCTGTGCCATTATCTGAATCATTGGTGAAGATATTGAACAGAACCGATCCCTGCGGGACTCCGCTCGTTACGTTCCTCCAGCCTGACTGTGAACCTCTGATAACCACCCTCTGGGAACGGTTTTCGCCCATTTCTCTCCTCCCAGGGCCCCATCCCCAGCCTCTCTGTTCAGCCCCTGCACCGGGTGGGGGGCATTGCTATTGGGGTTCATCTCTCCCCACTGACACCTGGCTCCCCCTGCAGATCGAGTGCTCCAGCATCTCCGATTACGCCGTCAAAATCGTCAAAGCCAACAAGCTGGACCACGGTGAGTGGGAGCCCCCCTGCCCCCACTCCCTCTCCCCTAGGAGCTCCCCAGACCCCCCTGTCCCCCCACTGTCTTTCCTGGAGCGCTGCCTCCTTGGAACCTCCTGCCCTCACCCTGGAGCCCCCCGGAATCCCCTGCTGTCTCCCTGGGGTGTCCCCCTGCCCCTACGCCCTCTCCCCCAGGGCCCTCCCGGAGCCACTCCCCCCTTGCTCCCAGGGTGCCCCCCGGAGCCTCGCTGGGCCTGGTCATGTCTCCTCCCACCCCAACAGGGGCGGCTCTCCCCACAGGGCACCCGCCCTGCACCCCATAACAGGAAACAGCAGCTCGTCCCCTCGTAGCCCCAGGGGTCTGCGTCCATCCTCCCCGGAGCCGCTCCCACTCCCCCACGGCTGGCCCATCCCCTGTGCTGAGACCCCCATCCCCTCCCCGACAGTGGTGTCCAGCCTCCCGCCCCCACGGCTGTCCCATCCCCTGCACTGAGACCCCCATCCCCTCCCCCGTGGTGGTGTCCAGCCTCCCTCCGCCCCCACATCTGGCCCATCCTCCGTGCTGAGACCCCTGTCCCCTCCCCCGCAGTGGTGTCCATCATCAAAGGCAAGGTGGAGGAGGTGGAGCTGCCGGTGGAGAAGGTCGACATCATCATCAGCGAGTGGATGGGATACTGCCTCTTCTACGAGTCCATGCTCAACACCGTCATCTACGCCCGCGACAAGTGGCTGGTGGGTCCCCCGGGCCCCCTTCCCTGCCCCCCTGCAGCCAGCCGGTTGCATTCCCCTTCCCTGCACCCATTCCCCGACCTGCCATGGGGTCAGATGGGAGCCAGTTCCCTTGGAGAGGACAGGCCGGATGGGAGCCAGCACGCCCTAGAGGGGACAGGCCCCTGCCCCATTCCCTGCCCCTCTGTGCCAGCCAGTCCCTGCCCTGGGGCCGGATGGGAGCTGGCACCCCCTGGAGGGGACAGGCCCCTGCCCCATTCCCTGCCCCTCTGTGCCAGCCAGTCCCTGCCCTGGGGCCGGATGGGTCCTGGCGCCCCCTAGAGGGGAAAGGCCCTGTGTTCTGTTCTGGGGACCCTGTGTCTAGGTGCTGTGGGGGTGGGGGAAACGGGGATTTTAGGGGCTGACACACAGTGACTCCCGCCCCCTCCCCCGTCTGTCTCCCCAGACCCCCGACGGACTCATCTTCCCTGACCGGGCCACCCTGTACGTCACGGCCATTGAGGACCGGCAGTACAAGGACTACAAGATCCACTGTGAGTGTGGGGGGCTGTAGGCCCTCTCTTGGGGGGCGGCTCAGTGTCCTCAGGGTGCCGGGCCTGGTGCCTCTCCTTGCCTGACGGAGGGGGCGGGGGGTGAACTCGGGGCATCTGTGGTGGCCGGCGGGGGGGAGGGGGTGGCTTGGTGTGGCCCGGTGTCTTGCTCCGCCCGCCCGCGGGGTCTGACTGCGGCTCCCCCCGGTGACGGGGATCCCGGGGGAGCCCCGCTGAGAATCCTCAGGGTGAACCCCAAAGAATGGGGCGGACGGTCCCCAAAGCTGGTGGATCTTCCAATACTTGGATTTACCAACCAGCCCACCCCAGCTTCTGTGACACCTCCCTGGCTACCCGGAGGCCAATGACACGGTTCCCTTAGCCCAGCAGTTTTCAAACCGTGGGTCGCGACCCAGGACAGGGAGTGGGAGGCGCTGGGACGCGACGGCTCTGGTCAGCTGCCCGGCTCAGGCAGGCTAGTCCCGACCTGTTCTGACACCGCGCTGTGCCCCGGAAGCGGCCAGCAGCGGGTCTGGCTCCTAGGCGGGAGGGCCACGGGTCTCTGCGTGCTGCCCCCCGCTTCGAGCACCGGCTCCGCTCTCCCATTGGCCAGTTCCGGCCAATGAGAGCTGGGGCGGTGCCTGCGGGCTGGAGCCACTTGCACGCCTCCACCTAGGAGCTGGACCTGCTGCTGGCTGCTTCGGGGGCGCAGCGCAGTCCGGGATGCCAGGAGAGGCAGGAAGCCTCCCTTAGCACCCCGCTGTGCCGCTGATTGGGAACCGCCCGAGGTAACCCCCAGCCCTGAGTCCCCCCCAAACCTGGAGCCCCCTCCTGCACCCCAAACACCTCACCCCCAGTCCCACCCCAGGGCCTGCACCTCCAGCCCAGAGCCCCCTTCTACACACCAAACACCTCATCCCCAGTCCCACCCCAGAGCCGGCATCCCCAGCCCAGAGCCCCTTTCTACACACCAAACACCTCATCCCCAGTCCCACCCCAGAGCCGGCATCCCCAGCCCAGAGCCCCTTTCTACACACCAAACACCTCATCCCCAGTCCCACCCCAGAGCCGGCATCCCCAGCCCACAGCCCCTGCTCCAACCCAGAGCCCCCTCCTACACCTTGAACCCCTCATCCCCGCACCCCAGCTCTGAGTCCCTCCCACACCCCAAACACCTCATTCCCAGTCCTACCTCAGGGCCTGCACCCCCAGCCCAGAGCCCCTGCTCCAACCCAGAGCCCCCCGCACCCCAAACTCCTCATTCCCAAGGCCTGCACCCCCAGCCCAGAGCCCCTGCTCCTACCCAGACCCCCCCCGCACCCCAAACTCTTCATCCCCAGGGCCTGCACCCCCAGCCCAAAGCCCTGACCCCCTGCTCCAACCCAGACCCCCCCGCACCCCAAACTCCTCATCCCCAGGGCCTGCACCCCCAGCCCAGAGCCCTGACCCCCTGCTCCAACCCAGAGCCCCCTCCCACACCCCAAACCCCTCATCCCCAGCTACGTGGGGTCATGGGTGTCAACAGTTTTCTTCAACCGAGTCGCCAGAAAACAGTTTGAACACCCCTGGGTTAAAGCAATGGAGCCTCAGGCCTCCCCCCAGACACCCACGGCAGGTTTGCTGGGGATCACGGAAAATCTTACTCATCATATAAGAAAGTTCTACCAACCCCAAAGGATCAGACACATCACCTCCCTGGTTAATGACTATACCAGATCCTCCCCACGTACGCGCTTCCAGCCAGTCCTCAGTAACAAAACGAACCTTTCTCAAAGAAAAGAGAATTTGTTAAAAGGTCAGGGCGAACAAGAGGCAATCGTGGAGACGTTGCGGTAGACCCATAATTAGCGACACCGATTAACATAAGGCAGTTGATCATTGACTTTAAAGAGACGTAGAGACAATGATTTCACCCATGGATTCATCTAATTGTTAATATTCCCTTTTGATCTCTGAATCAACAGCCATAGTGACAGACAGGAGCCGTCTGTTTCCGTGGCTAACATGTAATCAGATACAAGTGTAAACACACAATTCGTATCGCCTCCAATTTGCTAACAACCCAGGTTTGCCGTCCAAGTTGGAGCCTATCTAGCATGGAATGGCCATAATTACCGGCGACACGCTTTTCTAAGGGTGAATTTGGGTCATTTATCCTGCAGGGGGCTTCACCCTGTGTCTAAGATTCGTTGCCGTTATAGTCACGGCAAGGTCCCTCCTCTAATCAGATAACGTCTCATCCCCCAGGGTGGGAGAACGTCTACGGCTTCGACATGTCCTGCATCAAGGACGTGGCCATCAAGGAGCCGCTGGTGGACGTGGTGGATCCAAAGCAGCTGGTCACCAACGCCTGCCTCATCAAGGTGCAGCCCGGAGGGGGGGCCAGTGGGGCTGGCTTGGGGTGGGGGGCTGCCCCTGCCGGGGAGGCGTCAGGGAAATGTGCAAGGGGGTGGATGCCAGGAGACGCAATCCCAGCCTGCGAAACTCCCTGCCACTGGATGGCACTGGGACTGAGTCCCCCTCCACCCAGGGCCCGGCGTTGGGGGTGGGAATGGTGTCTGTTCTGCGTCTCTGGGGAGTGGGCAGCGGTGTGTGGGGGCAGCGCTGACCTCGCTTTCCCGCAGGAGGTGGACATCTACACGGTGAAGGTGGAGGACCTGACGTTCACCTCGCCCTTCTGCCTCCAAGTGAAACGTAACGACTACATCCACGCGCTCGTAGCGTATTTCAACATCGAGTTCACCCGCTGCCACAAGCGCACCGGCTTCTCCACCAGTACGAGGGGGCGGGACCAGGGGAGGGGATGCTGGGGGAGGGGGTGGAGCCAAGGGATGGGATGCGGGGGGAGGGGTGGGGCTGGGGGAGGGACCAAAGGATGGGAACTAGGTGGGGGGGGG